ATTTATTGTGATACTATCTAATAGGCTAGTGTCGATTGGTGCGAAGTAATAACTAAGCCAAACATCGATTATGATGTCTAATATGAGGTAAAGGTAAGGGTTAGTAAATTATACACACGTAGCCGGATCAAGGTGCGGGGTGAAATTCTCTAGATGCCGGATCAAGGATTTAGAGATACCTAACTTATCACTTTGCATGTAATACACTAGGAAAAAATTGCGGTTACTAGAATTACTGCGTTATGAGCTTGTGGTGAACACGTATACCCTAGTTAATTTTCTCATCTTGATAACAACCGAAATTGACTTTTGTTTATTGATTACTTACTGAATTCTTACAATTTGTTTTACAAAATTCCCCCCTTTTTATTACTTGTTTCTGGAAGTACTTTGGTTAATTGAATATAATTGTTGGTTAAAAGTAAAGTCTAAACCATTTTCCTCGTGGGATCGACCCCAACCTACAAGTTGGGTTCTTTACTTGATAACGATCGCTTATACTTCTTTAGGGAGGTGTAATTTGAGCGTATCAAATTTTGTGTTATAAGTAGGAGTTTTTATCCTAGTGCATTCAACGTAATAATATTCACTAGATAAGTTCTATATAAATAAAAAAAGGCAAGGAAGTATACTTATTTTGTACACAATAAGCTCAGATTAGAATTGTTTTTCTTTTAGTGGGTGCAGGGCTAGTTGGGAAATACAAATGACTCAAAAATTGGTAATCCAGCTTTGTATTGAAAGAGAGACACATTCACAAAACACATGCAAGGGGAATATATAATAAAATAAACATGACACTCAAATATAGAAACACTAGCAATGTACCAAACTATACCACAATATCTGGAAAAAAACAATTTTCAAGGGAAGAAATTTTAACAACCAAACAGGAAGGGACAGAACCTTCAGACTTTATTTAAACACTTCCAATTCACCATGAGTACTAGTCAAATTCAAGCCATTGAAGTTATCAAGGTCGACCAAAACCAACAAATGAATAGTCCAAAATAGGCCTTCACTGACATGAAGAACCCATATTCCTACATAGAAGAAATCCTAGATAACATTGTGTGATAATGCTCATCCATTATTTCGTAAGCAAACAGACTGATCATTACTCCCTATGCCAATTCTAATAGCCGAGCATGAAAAATTATTCAAAAAGGCATCATAAATCACACGCACACACCAAGCACACAAGTTATAAGTTTCCAAAACATCATCCAGACTCCACGCAGGTTTGAGATTCATAGTTTTTCAAATCTACCAAATCAAGCGAGGAGGATTCTTAATTTGAAAGAGGCTCACAAAATCAATCCTCTATCAACATATGAGGACAGAATCACGGAGTCACCAATTAAAAAAAGAGAAAGAGTTATTTCTCAAGTAACATACAACAATAGAAGATTGGAAACATCATGCTCAAGCATCATCGAAGGATACAGATTACACAGTCGCAGAAACATCCCCACCCAAATTAGTTCTTCTCCTTAGTTCAAAAGGATGAACTCATAAAGTGTATTTTTATGTATCACTTAAAATGTTGAGTTCAGAGATGAGAAAGTATTTAATAAAGATTTAAATGATTTTACTCATTTATTTCTTTACATTCAACTTGAGTTCATTGTTATCTATTGCAATCCTTTATTTCAGTTATTTGTATTCAGTTATATTACATACTCTTACATTCAATGTACTGATGTCATTCGACATGCATCTTTTAATGATGCATATACGGGTTATTAGGATCCTCAACAAGAGTCTGTTGAGATCACATCATCCACTCGTCTACTTATAAGTGAGACCACCTTGCTTTCGGAGTACTCCAGTTTTATGAGTTTTTAGTAGTAGTTCTTTTGAGGAGTCATGGGTCTTGTTCCGACACTCGTCTATATATAGTAGAGGCTTTATAGATAGACAGTTTTGGAGAGTCTTTCAGTTTCAGATATTTTATTTAAAACTTATGTTTCATACTAAGTATTCAGCGAAGTTTTGAGATTCAGTAAACTGTTTTTAAACGTTTCTTTCAATTTGATGCTTATGTATGCTCAAGTTAGTCTTCCGCTTGTAGTCAGCCAGGATGAGGGTTCTCTTGGGGACCATCAATGGTTCTCAAGTGTCGGCCACGTCTAGGGTGTAGGCTCAGATCGTGACATTTAGGTATTTGAGAATATCATTCTTCAACCAGTTTTTAATTCTCAAAGGTATATTCACATCTTGTGTGAAGATTGTATTCTGGCTTGTGCTTTCTCCCAAGTTGGCAAGACCATCAACAATGTTGTTCACCTCGCAAAGGTGTAGTTTTCTTGAATCTTCAGGTAATTGATTTCTCTGATGATATGATCTACTTGCCAAGTAACATTAGAGTTAGTATTGATCATTCTAATGATAACTAAAGATTCTAATTCTACAATTGTATCATAGTATCCATTGTTAGCGCACCATTGAAGTCCATGAAGAATAGCCTTAGCTTCAGCGATATTGTTGGAGCATTGGCCATAGTAATTGATAAAAGCCATAATCATGTTGCCATTCTAAGAATACCCCCTCCATTTGCATTACATGGGTTAACTTTACGGCACCCATCAGTTCTAAGTTTAAATCTACCAGGGCTGGATAACTCCATCTGGGGAATTTAATATTGATTTTAGGCTTGAGATTTTCAATATGATAGTAGATATGAATGCATTCTTGTTTTAGATGCATAGTAGGATATGGAGAAGTGATGTTGCTGATCAATTGGCTTCATTGTCACTGAATGATGGTCTGATTTCTTGAGTTCTGACGAAATCCAATGCTTGTCGCTATCAATTATTTGTTCGCTTCTAGTGTGCTTTTAATTATGGATTTTCTTCCCCTAAAAAATATGACTTCCCATAAAAAATTCTTAGAGGTAAGTATTTGACTATCACATATTGTTGGGTTGCATTTTGGTTTAGTTTGGAATTTGTTGGACAACTACTTTATCGACATTGAATAAGTGTTGCATGAACTAAAAGCATTAAGAGAAAAGAAAGTCAGAGAGAAGTAGAGGGTGACTATTAGTTGCTTGCTTCTTAGCAACTCCACTTGGGTTAAAAGAAATATTGTGATTGCAAGCTGTAATGTAATGATATGATGAATTTTTCCAAGTTATCTATATTTTACTTGGAAGCTTACCTGATAATTTTTTTTCTTTTTCTTCTCTTGTTTGGGAATGTATGGACTTATGCAATCTTGAAGTTATTTTTCTTGTAGACATGACGCGAGGTCGAGGTAACACAACTCGTGCAAGCAAGACCTCAATTAGGGTTGAGGTAGCACAAGTCGAGTCTATATGCCTATTGTTCCCATTTCCATAACTAATTCTCAACAAGGTGGTATCAATTCTTCTGTTGGACCAGATCATATTAACCAATTTCAAACATTAGCTCCTACTAGTTCGCCTCCTGTTCAAACATCAGCTCATGGTAGTACTCCATTTGTTCATTTTGAAACACCTTGTGTAATATCTAATTAGAGCAATAGAATAGGAGAATGTGCATCTACTCAAAGAAACGTGATAGGGGAGACGCCTACATCTAGCCAGAACAACACAATAGGTGAAGGTGAGGGTAATAATAATTCTAGACAATGGACATTTGTTTTTCTTCCTCATTCCGGGTAAATTTGTACTTGCACTATTGTTATTTATTTACTGTAATTTCTTCATGATAGACTTCATATAATATATTTCAAAAAAAAAAATAGTTTGGAACCTTCAAATATTTGCTCTACCAGGATATGTGAGTCTTTCAAGAGTGAACTTGATCCTAATGGAATTAATTGGACAAGTATCTCACAAGAAATAAAGGATTTTTATCTCGGAGAATTCGAGGTATATATTTCATCATTTTAATAAAAAAAATTACATCACTTTTGAAGGTTGGATACTAATGTTGTTTACTTATAAAATTATTTTAGAAGGAATTCTATTGGGATCCTTCCATTGATAGTGAAGTGAAGATACTATGGCATAAGAAGGCAGGGAGAAGGTACATTGATTTTATTTCTTGCATAAAAAAGAAGCAGTCCGGCCAAAATATGTTCTGGAAGAAACATGGGAAAGTTGGATGAGATTTTGGAAAGATCCCAAGGTTATTGAAAATTCAAAAATAAATTCAAGAAATCGTTGTGGCGGTCAGAATGCAGTTGCAAAGGCGACTCACACGGGAGGCTCTATTACTATTGGAGAGCATCGCAAAAGACTTGTAAGTATATTTTCGCACACCCTTAATTTACTTTATATGCATAATCTTAACCTTTCGGAACATTGAAGTGCCTTTGTATTATGTTTGCAATCCCTCAATTCAAGACTAGAAAATGCTTCCTCCTTAATACTTCAATGAGAAAGGACTAACAATTGTTCTTGCATTTGAGCCTTCTTTTTGTAACATTGAGGCATATCATCCACTACAAAAGGAACCCCAATTATCAACAAAAAAAATTCGTTGGTAAATTGATCAAATTGGTTGGCAAATTGAGTTACCAACCAAATGCCAACTTATATTAATCCATTGCCAAAAGGCTCGTCGGTAAATATTACCAACCGATTTTAATTTGTTGGTAAACTTACCAACCAAAAATCAGTTGGTAAACACCCAAAGATGTTGTTACAAAATTTTGAAACATTTCCCTGAAATTTCCGTTGGTAAATTCACCAACTAATTTTTGGTTAGTATATGCTTAGTACCTTTACTAACGAATTGAAAAGGAGTTAGTAAATTTTTTTCTTCATTATTCTATTCCGTTGGTAATAAATTTTTGGTTAGTATATCGTTAGTACCTTTACTAACGAATTGAAAAGGAGTTAGTAAAATTTTTTCTTCATTATTCGATTCCGTTGGTAATACGTTGGTAATTATAGTAACAAATGTCTGATAGTAAACTTTTCCAGATACATTGGTAATTGGTTGACAATTTTAGTAACGGAAAATTTATGTTGGTAATTTACTAATAAATTTTAATTTTTTTTTTATTGGTTTCCCATCCGGTGTACGGTACCCACATTGGAGCCCGACTAAATCCGGATTCACGCCGGAAAGTCCCACATTGGGGAGTAAAGCGCTCCCTAACAAAGGTGACTCGTACCTAATGGGAATCGAACCTGAGACCTCTTGGTTAAGGATGAATGAGTACTTACCACTCCACCACAACCCTTGTTGGTAATAAATTTTAAATACATTACTATGATTATTTGTTTTTCTAATAAATTTACTAATTGATTGTTAGTTTGTTGGTAATATATCATTCAAGACGACTTCGTACCCAAGGGGAATCAAACCTGAGACCTCTTGGCTAAGGATAAAGGAGTACTTACCACTCCACCATAACCCTTGTTGGTAATAAATTTTAAATACATTAGTATGATTATTTGTTTTTCTAATAAATTTACTAATTGATTGTTAGTTTGTTGGTAATATATCATTCAAGGCGACTCCGTACCCAAGGGGAATCGAACCTGAGACCTCTAGGTTAGGGATGATGCAGTAATTACCACTCCACCACAACCCATGTTGGTAATAAATTTTAAATACATTAGTATGATTATTTGTTTTTCTAATAAATTTACTAATTGATTGTTAGTTTGTTGGTAATATATCATTCAAGGCGACTC